AATGAGACACACACTGCCTCGCAGCTTCCATAGGAAATTGTGCAGCCCAGGAATCAGATCAAGTATTCATATGATTTCAGAAACTAAGGGCCAGATTTTCCAGAGCTCAGCACCTAGTAGCTCCCACTTAAAAATGTGGTCACTTCATTTAGGTGCCTCTACGGCAGATGAGCTGGTACTCAAAATGGCTTTGAAAAATCGGACCTTAAATGTCCAAGTCTTCAAGCTGGATTTGAATCCTACCCCCATCAGACATTTCCTGACAAGAGTTATAACCAGCTAGTCTGTATTATCGTACACTGTACTCCTGTCTCTTCTCCCTTTGGTACAGTTACCCTACTGTACAGCTCTCTAACCTCCCGTCAGCTCTGTGAATAGCAAACACCTTCCATCAACTCAGCAAGCATGTAGCAATTACAGAACCGGCCCATTTCCATTTCATGTGTTATGGGGAAATGGGGCAGCCACAGCCAGCCTGCTGGGGACCAGCCAGCTTCAGGACTCACATGAGACAGACAGTTGTACCTATGGAATAAAACCTTGTCTCATTCCAGCTTCCTCCACCATCAACCCAAGGGGGTAACTCACAACAAACGATCTTGGTTCTCTAGGGACATGATACCAATAACTCTGAGTCCAAAGAAAACCAAGTATTGCCTTGGGCCCTATAGGCAGGGATCACCTTGGCTCAGAGCTCAATAACAAACACAGTGTTCTTCCATTTATTGCAAATCTGCCGCTGGTCCCCAGTTGTAAATTTATGTAGCTGTGTGAGTCCAGATTTGCTTTAGGAGTGAGCAATACAACTACATAAGGCTATATAGATACAGGCATCACACACATTTCATATTTCTTGCAGGGTTTTATTAGACGTCCAAGGATCAAGGAATTTTTACTAGAAAAATGTACTATTTCAATGGGTTGAAAGTGAAACACTACCATGAAGTCAGGGTCAACTTGCCTGACCCCAGGCTGATATGACGCAAAATCCCTAGTGTGGCTGGCATATGTAAGATCAGAATCAAAGGGTGGGATTTTTAAAAAAGCTTCAGTGCCTTTGAAACATTTCACCCAAAAATCTAACTCGGCCTGGATTTAACGGGCCTAATTCTCCCTCTCTTACACCAGTTAACACCATGGATGTCAATGTCTTCCTCATTTACACCTGTGCAAGGGAGGGGAGAATCACAGCCTGGGGGCCTGATTCTCATTTATCCCAAGACCCTTTACACCAGTGTGACGACATGGAGAGGCCTCTGAGAGTAGTAACAACTGGCACCCACTTCGAGGCCTCTGCACTGCCAGAGCACCATAAAGGGGCCTTAGTGTAAACAAGGCTCAGGTCCAATATCTCCATTTATACTGTACATCAGTAACTGATGGCAGCTGCATGGGATGTGTGACAGACAGTTTTACTGCAGCTAGGGTGGAATGAAAAGCAAGCCAAACATCTCTCCCTGCCTGGTAAAGTACTGATTGGATAAATACTGCAATCAGATCTCAGGGAAACCAAGCTTTTAATCTCAGTTACTTGTGCTTCTTTGCCTCTATGGTTTTCAACTTTAAAAAAAAAAAAAAACCTCAGTGTTGATGGGGGGGTGGCGTTGGGGGGAAATGGATTACAGACTGAGATATCAGAGTAAAGCTCTATTCAGTGTTAATGAGCAGATCTGCAGGAAGACACAAGGTGCTGAAGATGGCATCTGGATTTCTCATTTCAAATACCAGCAAGAATAAAATCTCAGCTCCTGAAGTGGTATCAAAGACTCTGCAGCTTAACTATAAAGCTCTGTGCTGTATAGCCAAGTGTCGGTATTGTACAAGAAACCTTAGTAAAACAGAGAGACCTCTCTTGGGGGAGAGGGGGAATCGGATCTCACATCAGAGATCTTCTGAAGCTGATAATGAAGAGAGTATTACCTAGCTCCCAGCAGTCTCACCATTCTGCTTCACAGGAAGCAGCAAGCTTGATGTTGGCAAACCAAAATTTTGCTATCTCAAAGCCATACAAAATAAACACACTGAGCCAGATTTTGCTCTCAGTGGCACTGAAGGTTAATTAGAGGCAAGAGTTAATTTTTACTTGATCTTTGGTTGTTTTAGATACCATGCAGGAGAGTAGTATCTCTTAGCTAAATATGGCTCTTCCTTGCTATGGCAATTCAGACTCCACATGTGGCGTACGTCAGGGCCAGCTTCCTGGAGAATGAGCTACATGGTTCCTGAGGCTTTCAGTTATTTTCTTCTCCCTTAGAATCATAGAAGATTAGGGTTGGAAGAGACCTCAGGAGGTCATCTAGTCCAACCCCCGCTCAAAGCAGGACCAACCCCAACTAAATCATCACAGCCAGGGCTCTGTCAACCTTAAAAACCTCTAAAGAAGGAGATTCCACCACCTCCCTATGTAACCCATTCCAGTGTTTCACCACCCTCTTAGTAAAATAGTGTTTCCTAATATCCAACCTAGACCTCCCCCACTGCAACTTGAGACCATTGCTCCTTGTTCTGTCATCTGCCACCACTGAGAACAGCCCAGCTCCATCCTCTTTGGAACCCCCCTTCAGGTAGTTGAAGGCCGCTATCAAATCCCCTTTCACTCTTCCCTTCTGCAGTAAATAACCCCAGTTCCCTGAGCCTCTCCTCGTAAGTCATGTGCTGTAGCCCCCTGATCATTTCCATTGCCCTCCGCTGGACTCTCTCCAATTTGTCCACATCCCTTCTGTAGTGGGGGGACCAAAACTGGACACAATACTCCAGGTGTGGCCTCACCAGTGCCGAATGGAGGGAAATAATCACTCCCCGCAATCTGCTGGCAATGCTCCTACTAATACAGCCCAATATACCATTTGCCTTCTTGGCAACAAGGGCACACTGCTGACTCATATCCAGCTTCTCATCCACTGTAATCCCCAGATCCTTTTCTGCAGAACTGCTGCTTAGCCACAAGCCTACCAAAAAAAAAGAAAAAAAAAATGAACTTTCCCTGCATCCACTAAACTTGGAAAATATACCTTTAAGCCCAGCCCCATGTAATGGCAAATGCCTAACTTGCCAGTGAGAGGAGAATGGAGAAAGAATTGTGACTCGCAGAGATGCAGTTCTCTCCCTGACCCCGGCTGTACTGATGAGAGGTGGGCGTCTGGTATTCTCAGACTTTTGTTCGCTGTTACATTTTCAGCTGTGACATCATGCCACCTGGTGGACTCTGCACAGATCTAACAGGAATTGCAAAGGCACGAGCAAGGATGCTAGAGAGGCACCATTTTTAGGGGTTCTGAGTCAGACACTGAATTTGCTTTCATTCACAGTGTTGCTAATGGAACAGTTAAATTAAAAGCATTTTGCTGAAGCACCTTGCTGAATAAAGGCCTATGCACCTGATTCGTATTGCTAAACATAAAGCCTGTATCAGCTGCAGACTGCCAGTAAGAGCTACTGAAAAACAAGGCTACTGCTTTTCAGTACATTCAGATTTACTAAGAAAAACAATGAGAAGCAAACCCTCGGTTGTGCCAGAGCACATCTCAGCAGAGTCAGGGGACAGGCAACAGCAGCTCTAAAAGCCACGTTTCTGCCTCCTCCCTCTCTGATCCTGGGGCCGGACGGGGGTCAAATCAGCCTCCCACACAAATGAGAGTATCAGCTAGGAACCGGGACAAGGGCAGGGACTGATGGAGAGTACTGCATTCCTGCCATACCCTCTTTAGCCCCTGAAACAACCCCTCCAAGCGCCATCCCACTCCCTATGCTGGGATGGTCTGGGCTGGCACAGAGCCAGCTACCCCAGGTTTATAGCTACCCATTTAGGGTAGCTTTACAGTCAGTGCTAAAGGTCCTTAATAGCATGGGCCAGGATAACGATCATCATTCTTCCAACAGCGGAAAAATAAACAGCAGGTGAGCCCAATGGAAATCTTCCTTTCGTACACTAAACGGGCTATTTAAAGACAGCACCAGAGATCTAGCTAGTCAGTAAGAGCCTTTGATTACTCTGCCAAGTAATCCCACTCCGCCTCTCCAAGGCAACAGCAGACAGGAGTTTACCTGGGAGCGTCCTCTCAGCGACACTTCGGTTATTAACCACCCAGGTGAAGGTTTTTATTTTTTCCAAATAGGGGCTTAAATTTAGGAAGCAGAGCCCAGGAGGAGCCAAGAGCAACCGGAGAAACCACAAAAATGAAAAAACGACCCTGAACTATACACTGCGTCTGGCATTTCATTAGGGGCCCTATCCAAAGCCCACTGAAAACAATGGGAATCTTTCCACTGACTTCTATAGATTTTGGGTCATGCGCCAGGTGCAACAATATTTCGTATTTTCCCATTAGTGAGCAATTCATGAACTCTAGTGTAAATTCTTGTCTCCCTTCCAACAGCCTGATGCTTCATGCCAACCCCCAGGCAAAGAAAAGAAATATTTCCCACTGTTAGTGCTACTAAAATGAGATGTGGCCAGCTCAGGCTCTCTGCAGTTATTCACATTTAAAGACTCAAAAATTATACAAACAAACCCTGAAGAAAAGCAGTACAATGCATTCTAATCTAAAATTATCTCTCCCATTTTGATGTGAAAACCACTATGAGCCTCTTCCCAAACTCTATATAAAACTTATATAATACACAATTCAGGGGTCCCTCTTAAATATGCAGTTGCAATAACTGGCTGGCTTTGTGCCTGCTCTTATCATTACAAAGCACTCGTAGATTGTGCCACACCTGTGTTTCCTTTTATTAAAAACTCTGGCCCCAAACCCGCAGAGACTAATGCATAGACTTACCTTTATGCACTGCAAGCATCTTCATTGGGACTACTAACTGACTTTGCAGGAGTGAAATTTTTTCTGTGCTTTGGGAGCAGAGAAAAACCCATTCACCATCGTGAATGACAAATAGGAATTCAATAAACTGCATGGTCTATTTTAACTGTGATTCAGGAATCAGTCAGTGAAGGCAAAACCAAATCTCTTACTTTAAAACCAGCTGTTAAATTCATCCCTTACCTTCAGCAGCCCCCTGGGGAAATCTTTGCCTTCATTCATCCCCTGAAGGTTGGCAATGAATTCTTGGCAGGTCATCTTTTTCCCAATGTTCTAGAAGTCACCAAAAGATACATTACAGAAACATACAATTAGATTGGTGCTGTTGTCCAACAACAGTTAGGCCTAAGAAAACCACATCTGGATGGACAGCATCTCCTTGCTCTAGTTTGAGCCCAAGGCAGGCCGTGCAGAGAAGCATTCCCAGAATTATACAGACATCGGTGCAAGCACGTCTGCATGACCCAGCTGGAAAACGCACAAGAAATGTGTGTTAATAACCCAGCCTCGCCGTTCAAACAATGGATGTTAAGTAGTACATAAACATCATAACGAGGGTGGAGGTGGTGGTGGTGGTGTTTCCTAGCACTTGCACGGTGCTTTTCATCCACAGATCTCCAAGCATTATCAAAGGGTAGGGTTATATTCATTGAACTTTAAGGTCTGACTTCAGAGAAAGCTGGAGCCATGTTGCCAAAGCTGCTGTCCGGAAGCTGGGAAGAACTTCTTCCACCAGGCTAAGAAACCGAAACTAGAACTGGAAAATAAAGCTCTGAATTAAACCTGATATTTCTAACCCTAACTTTCGGTGACTCCCTGAGGTTGGGGCTGCACTGGCATTTCCAATCCAAAGGGCCTTTTTTGGTTTATAGTCTCACTTGCACTTGGGTGATCAGCAGCAGGGTCGGAGCACCCAGGTTAGCCTAGCCTGGCTGTGAACAGCCAGACTGCAAAGGCCCATGCAAGTCAATGTCCTCACTGGTGCTGCGCTCCCCAGTGTGTCACTAGGACTTCTGGGGGGGTATATCCCATGGTTCTTAGCACTGCAACAAGCTGAGCCACTTTATGATTCTTTCCCAGTGAACTATGGGAGAACTTGTCTGTCCATCCAGGCACATGGGAAGACACTGAATCACTCACTACAAAGTAGACAGTTTACCACCCTGAGTTAAAGCAGCTCGAGACTATACCCCAGCTGGGTTGAAAGCACCACAAAACTCTGATGAGAGGGCTCCATGTGCGACAGGAGCTGGGTTAGGGAAACATGTGAGGAAGGGCCCGGGTTAACTCTGCTGTGCAGACAGACCTGAGGAGCTCCATCTATTATATAAGTTATGGACTTTTAGGGCTACATTATCCCTTGTTCTTTGTGCCTGCTACTCCTCACCAGAGCACATGGGCAGGGAGAGGTGAGGAGCACGCTGAGCCAGGATTCCACCCCCACCACATCACCCAGCAATGCTGATCCAACAAGGAGATTTGCTACTGTATAAGACAGCTATAAATCACTACCCCCTTCTCACAGAGCAAAGGGATGACCAGGAAGGAACTGTGCCATCAGAGGGGTGTCTCTGACCTACACTGCCTCCTGGAGCAGTACAGCTTACACACTAGCCCCCAACTGGCCCTAACTCCTGCTTTTATTAAGCTTCAAAAAACAGCTCTGAGAGGGTGAAGTTTTAATTTTAGATTTAGGCTTTTGCTGCTACAGTCAGACCCTAAAATTACAATTCATTTCCCCACGTGAAGTGGGTTGCTTCCCATATTAATAGGTTCCTTCTTTGATATTCTTTTCCAGCACATGGTAACTGAAGTGGGTTACTCCAGTACACGGAAAGAGGATGAACTGCAGCAAGACAAGGAGGAATAAAGAGGGTTCATTAGATCCATTCACTGACTCCTTTAGTAGGCTTCATGGCATAGCAGAGTCATGCTAACAGGTTGGAGCATGATACTACAGTTAGAAAACAGGCAGTTATGATATGTGCAGAAGAGGCTGCATTCAAAGTTATAAACACCTAACTTACCACCTAGAAGGAAAATGCAAAAGAATAAAAAGATTACAGGTGATCCAAGGAAGAAAAGGACAAGAGAAATACATGCAGGGTTCTGTTAGTTGTTATGGCGGCTGCTCCGCCTTCTTCACACTTAAGACAACATGGTAATAACCACCAGTCACAGAAATCTGCAGGTTTACATGGTCTTATGACAAACAGAATCAGCTTAGCCTCAGCAGCCGTGTAAAGGGATAGTCTCCAGCTAAACACCATGCTAAACAAAGGAGCAATCTGAGAGTGCACACTATGGGGCAGATTCCTGTATCTTTACTCATGATGAGTGCTGCCTTATTCCTTGAGAGGTGCCATCAATTTCAGTGGGACTCCCGGAGGAGTAAGGTACTGTGCTCAACATGAGAGGGTAGCAGAATGTGGCTTGCTGGGAGTAGAGTTTGCTTGTAACTTCTTTTCCCTTATAAAACCTGGAGGCTGAGATCTGCAAAGCCACTTAGGGGCTTTGGACTCCCACTCCCCATTAAAACTAATGGGAAATGGATGTTGAAGTCCCTTGGACAGCTTTGAAAGTCTTAGCTGTAACTTTTATAAGTTCCTTGGAGTTGCTCTGAAGTTCTGTACAAGGGGCAACCTCCTTTCTTGTAAGAGCCACCCCCAAAGGTTCCCAAATATTTGAAGGACAGCTCTGCCTTGCTTCAGTTAGAATACCCCCTCCACATTAAGAACCCAGTTTGTGTCGGTCCCTGGGGTGCTTTAAGGCAGGTCTCCATGCATCGTAAATACATTTTCTGAAATACAAATTAAACAGCCACATCAAACCAATTGAAGTTTGCATTCCTCCCACCCTACCCCCACATCTCAGCCTCTGATCACATAGCTCCCCTCCCCACCTCGGATGGCTGAGGTACAGTTTGTGTCCTTGCCTTAATTTTAACCTGTAGGGCAGAGAGCCCGTCTGCCATGGTCTGCTTGAGCAAGGATAACTCGGGCAAGTGCTGGTCCTTCTCCGCCACCTAGTGGCTATGAGTAGAATGGCACTGAATGAAAAGGGGCTAGAGATTGTGGTTCGATTCTCCCAGGCTCTTACACTGTGTCATAAAACCTCCCTTGAACAAGTGCCTGTCAGAATTGTTCCTTCTGTGCGCCAATGGGACACAAAAGACATACCCACAAGAGACAGGGAGGTTGCATGGTCACAAAGTGAAACAACCAAGCAGGGACTTAGGGAGGGAGTTTGTGCACCCATTTTAGCGATGTGGCTCCCCCTGGGAGCTACTCGCTCCCCTGAGGGCAGAATCCCTCCTTGCACTCCTTTGGGAGAGGGAGTTCTGCACTGCACCCAACATGGATCGATCTCTAGCAGGCATGGTAGAGTCCCGAATTGCGTCTTCAGTTAAAGCATGACTGTGTTACACCTTTTCTGGCTCTGTCCAACAAGAAGAAACTCCACTTCCCACTGGAAATCAGCATGGAATCCAGATTTCCACAAGAATCTCACTCTACCCTCTGTATTGCCAATACCATTATCTTGGAGAGTAAATTACTCTGGGCCTGATGCTGCAGTCATTCATGCAAGCAAAGCTCCTATTAGCTTCAGTGGGGTTTCATGACATGACATGACAGACTGCAAGGTCGAGCTATTGTTGGGTAGCATTTGCTTTTGTGGAAATGCATGTGTTTTCTGGAAACAGCGTATGCTGACTAGTTCTTATTCATGCAAGTCAGCCGGCTGACGCCAATATTCCTGAGGGTAAGTGCTATTCCGGGTCACTTAAGGGGTGCAGAATTAGACCCTAGAGGTGTAGTGGAGACCCCCCCAAAAATGTGCAGCAAAAGGTTAAAATTCAGAGCAGTCATATCTCACCATGAGCACATACAATGGGGTGCTTGGAGCACTGAAATACATGTTGTGGTCTCCTACTACACCAGTGCACTGGACACACCCTTTGGCTTATTTGGTTCATGTGTGTTTTCACATTAGCTGTAGGGGATACCGAATGGACGTTAACTGTGGTCACTAGGCTTTCAGTTCATAACTGGCTGCCCAAACATCCCCATTTCCTCCCAGGTTCTTTCGCCTCCTCCCCAGGACAGCAAAGCAGCAGGGAAGGTAGAAGCCAACAGACACTGCTGCTGCCAGGTCAGAACAGGCTGCTGTCCCCAGGAAGAGCAACACAGAGGAGGGATGGGCAATGTTGCAACTGGGGCAGTGGGCACAACCCTTCTGGAGGTCGGGGGGGCATGCAGGGAACCACACCCACTGTCACACCCCTTCTGGGGGTGCAGCTTTTCCCAACAGGATCTGCTGGCCAGTTGTCAGGTGACCACCTTTGAGACACCCCATGGAGGAAGCAGTGTCTGTGCTCTGGGGAGCATAGGGACTCCAACTGTACCCAAGGACACAGGCGGCGAGGATGCCTATGCGCCTTGTGCTGCTAGCAGAGCGGCCAGTGGCCGTCCTGCTCCCGAAGGGGAGCACCATGCAAAACAAGGAGCGCTTGAGGGCTGATCTGTGACCAGCACCACTTCCTGAAAGCTCAACTTTGACAGGCGAGCTCTTCCTGAAAACAAGGGCATAGCATGTTCTTAGCATGTGCACTCACATGGCCATGTAGGTCAGTGTTCAGCAGCATCACTGCACAGGTGAGACAATGGACTCCATCTGGGAGAAGAAACAGAGCAAATATCACACACAGATAGTAGTGTGAAAACTTGGGACACTCTTTTTTCGGGGTGGGGTGGGGTGGGAGTATAGTTACATATATAAGACAAAGCCCCTACTATCGGGAAGGTCCCGATAACATTGGGACGTCTGGTCACCCTACACATAAACACACACGACCCAGGACAATGTATTTAAGATCAGCTCAGGTTGCACAAGGACCTTGCTCCCCAGTTGAGACTGCCTCTGCCTTTAAGGGGAATCTGCTCATCAGGTAACACACAGAAAAATGCAGGAAAATCAATCTAAAGTAATGTAACGGAAAAGTCAGTTCATCTCATACTTTCTTTCGTCTTTTATCACCTGACAAACCTGTCTTGCAGCATCGACTGATAAGATAACGTAGATTTGAAACCACACTCCCGGCTACTTTTGCTGGCATCAGTACGCCAAATGGAATCTGTTCTTTTTTTTTTTTTTTTTGCTCATTAGGGCCAAACCAGAAAGAACAAACTCCCTGTCTCCTTGCCTGGGACATCACTGACCTTCCAGCAAGGAGATGTTATAGCCTCTCTCAGTCGGTATGTCTGGTCTTCCAGAAACATAGGCCCGAATAACATGGTCACATACGAGTTCCCCCCACAGGACCCCTGCCTCCGGCACTGCTTGCCTTCGACTCTGAATGAGGCAGGGCTGTACAGTGGAAGAGGTTGCTGCTGCTCACAGGACCCCAGCCACATACGCTGCAGGAGCCGCATGCTGTGCAGCCGGTGTGGCCGGGATCCACAGGAAGAGGCTCTTGAGGGGAGAGCACTGGACTAGAAGCCGGCAGAAATGGGTTCTCTCAGGCTTTGCCACTGGCTGATTATGTGGCATTGGCAAAGACATGTAGGCCAACATTTATGGAAGCAGCCACTGACTGTGTGTTCCTCATTTTCCTGAGGCCTCATTTTGAGACGTCCAGAGCCAGCTTTCCAAAGTGCTGACGGCCTACTAATCCAGCTGAAGTCGATGGGCATTGCGGGTGCTCACCATCTGTGAAAATCAGGCCCTAGGTGTCTCGCATTGGTCACCCCACACTAGTGAACACTTGAAAATGTCGCTCTTCATCTTTCTGTGCCTTAGTACCCCCATCTGTAAAGTGGGGGTCAGAGTATCAGCTCACTGGGGAGGGGTGAAGACACATTCATCCCTCTCTATGAAGCATTCAACTGTTACACTGATGAGCACCATTAAAAAAAAAAACAGTGAGGAAATTAACAATTTCCTGTTCAGTGGGAGGTTTGGATGGTGTGCAGTGAATAAAGCATGGGGCCATATGCACTGTCCTACCTGTGCACTAAACAGAGCAGGGGTCCTACGGAAATAAATAGTATGTGATCGTATCTTGAAGCCAGCGGGACCATGTGTGTGCTGAGCTCATTGCAGGATCAGGCCCTAAGGCTATGTCTATGCTACAAATCACTTTCAGTGGGGTGTCGTGCATCTGTATCTACGCACCCCAATGAAAAGCAGGCTGTATCCACACTGAGGTGTGGAGCTACAGGTGTCGGTAAAAGGCTCTGGCAGAGGGGAGGCGATGCAGAAAGGCTTCAGCTGCTCCGCACTGCCAGAGCCTTTCACTGCAGCAAGGAAAGGCTCCAGCATCGGGAGGCAGCAGTGTAGATGGGGAGTCAAGGCTTGGGCCAATATAGAACGTGTAGGGTATGTACTCAGTATATAACCACACCCTTCTTGTGCGTCTTTACCTCACTGGCTTAATCCGTGCCTCACGTCTACACTACTATTTATATCCATGCTGGGGGGCTATGCACGTACATACACTACACGAGGCTGAACGAATCCTGCGGTGTAGACACACCCTAAGAGAGTAAGTTCTTTGAGGCAGGAACCATATTACCCTAGGTGTCTGTACCACAGAGTACAATCCAGAGTGGTATATCGGGGTACTACAGTAGTGTTAAATAAAACAGCAGCAGCCACCATCACCAGCAAGGGTAACTTCCATTCACCCGGGGTTTCGATTTGTGGTGTTCCAGTACAGACACACAGATCACAGGGGGTTGGACTAGATGACCTCCTGAGGTCCCTTCCAGCCCTGACAGTCTATGATTCTATGATTGCACAATGCACTTCCCAATGAAGCATGTGCCTTCATTCTCAAAGAAATCTAAGCAAAATATCTCAAACAAGGAACACTGAATTTGAAACAGTCCACTCCCCGTTACATCTCTGCGTTTCCACTGAAGGGGATGAAGGCTCCACTTCGTAACCAAGGGCTCACGGGGTCCCAAGAGCTCCGCTGAGGGCTGAAATTCAATATCGGAAGCTGATCGTCAATTTAAAGTACTGCTACTTCTACTGGACGCAAAACATCCCCCCAAGTCAGCGGATGAAACAAAAAGGTTCCTGCTGATATCTGCAGGGGATCAGAGGGACACTGTCAACTTCGAGGCATTATGTCTGGCTGCAAATGGCACCCCTGCTAGAATTACACGGAGCACCTGAGCGGTCCCTCAACCCAGCAAAAGCTTTGCCTGGACTAGCCTACCTAAGCTAGCTCGAGTCCCGCTACCACGAGTCCCCACTGCACGAGAGACAGGGCCGCAGGGCCGAACACATACCCAGGGGCCAGGCCAGGACTGTACTACTGGCATTGAAGCCAGCATGGTGCTGTCTTTGCTGATAGGACCACCCCCGCTAGCTGGGGCAGGCCACCCCATGCACATACCTGAGGTGAGCAAGTGTTCAGGAGGGGGGCAGAGATAAGCAGGGAGGAGGCAGAACCTAGGTGCCACACCCTCAATGCTCCAGCCAGAAAAGCTGAATTTAAGCTGTACCCCGCTCCTGGCGCAGGCAAATCACTTCTCCGGAACTGTGATTCTGCATCAACATCCTTCGGTAGTCCCCTACTGGGATGCAGCCGCTAACCACACTTCCCCGTACAGGGCTGAGCCAAAAGACACAATCAACCCCTCGGCTCTGGGTGAAGCTAAACATTTATTTTAGATTCAACAATTCACTTCCCAAGAGTGTCATGGAGGAAAATATTAGTTTAGTATGGAGTCAGCTACTGTAGATTTAATTCTAATTCCCTCCATACCCAATTCTTGACCCTGACTCCAAACAATGTCTTATTTCCTCTGTGTTGTGCACAGTTGGTTATTCACCTTCTACCACCCCAATTTTTAATGTATTCGTAGCTAAAATCACCTAGGTAGCTGGGATTAAGGGGGGCCTGAAATATATTTTTCCTCTTTCTTTCTTTTCCTGCTATCTTTATTATAGACTTACATATGATCTGATGTAGTTGGAATTTTTAGGTCAAATTCTCTGTTGGTGTAACTCCATCAAATTCAATGGAGTTATGTCAGCAGATAGTTTGCCCTTTTACTTGGGAATGTTTTCTTTCTTGGTTTAGGTTTTTGGTTTTTTTTTTCAAATTTTAAAAATTACCGAGAGTGTTGAAGAGGAAGTTGCCTACTACCTGATGTTAGCTGGCCTTCATGAAAGGAGGCCAGGGAGGACATGCCCAATTTTAAGCATGTACGTAGCCACGCTGAGGAACTACTCAAGTGCTTAGGCATGTTTAAATACCTTGTTGAACTGAGGCCAATATGAGTAAGGTTGCCCTGCCTATGTCCATACTTCTGGCAAGGATAAATTAGAGGACTCCCATTCTCACTGTTGTCAATCTCTCGCCTTCCACAAACAGTCCATTTTCATGCATATACTTGTTTTACCTCAGGCAGGAGAATATTTCAAGCAGGAAACATACAGGCGATAGCCCAAAGTGAAAGAACAAAGAGGAATGTCTATGACCTAGAAATCAGAAGCAAAATTACCTTGAGTAGAAACGGTGTTTGGGTTACACTGATAGTATCTGTTGGAGAAGTGGATTAATACTCTCTCTCTTTCCTGAGTTTCTCCAATAAGTGAAAAGGCTTTAAAGAAACTCCTAGAAGAAGTTTAAAGAAAGCTGAAATTAAAAACACAGATCTCTACTGGCATGGCATTGCCCTTATAATATAGCACATTTCACAGAAAGGGATAAATGACTGCATATCAAAAACTTGTTTCCAAGAGTCTTCTAATGGAAGAAAGCCCAACTAGATAATGATTCCCTATGTACTTAACCCAAAAGGGGAAGGCAAGTTATTGATGGTCTGAGCAGTGGCATAAATGTACTGACACAAAACTGTATTATTTTAAATATTTTCCTCTTGTATTTGGAGGCTTTTTGGATAAAGAATATGCAAGGGATAAAAAAGAAGAGCACACCTGGGACCATTACCTATTTGGACTTTGATGGAAGACTGGTGCAGGCCTGGTACTGTGGATGGTGCAATTTTTAAATGCATTTTCTGTTGTTCTTTAAATGATCACTTTGGTCCCTATCCTGCAGACATCTAGGCACGTGCTTAACTTTACTCCTGTGAATAGTCCCACTGAAATCAATGGCACCACTCATGGTAGTAAGCTAGGCATGTGCGTTAAGGTTCTGTGGGATTGAGGCTTTACCTTACTGCCCTGGATTAAATAGCTTCAGAGACAATAATGTTTATGGTTAGCCATCTCTCTAGCATCTATCACCACAGTACCCCAGGCCTCCCAAATGATCAGGGCCAGACTGTGCCCTGAGGATCCGCAGTGTGGGGATGGTGTGAGGCCACGCGGCCCTATGGGGAGCTCCAGGGAAGGGAGGAAGGGAAGTGAGGCTCCCTCACCCAAGTGCACCAAGAGCAGGAACCATCTGGCCCTAATGAATCTATCCTCACCACAGCACTGTAAGGAAGTCCAATACTGTTCCCATTTTACTGAGGACAAACTGAGGCACAGGGAGACTATGACTTGCCCAGTGTCACAGGAAAGTTTGTGCAAAGCCAGAAGTGCCCCCCTCCACTCCACACACACACATGCCTTCCGAGTCTCAGAGCAGTTTCCTAACCATAAAAGCATCCTTCCTCCCGGCAGCATTGCCAACTCCTCCACTGAAATTTTGTGCTCTTTGTAAACAACCAAATCCTGCAGTCAGGTGATCGCATGGGAGTCGCCACTTTCATTTTTTTATTTTTAAAAAGGATGCTTCCAGCCCTCATGGTCGCAAAGAAAACCTTGAAAACATAAATCTTGAAGGCTTAACACAAGAAGGCAAATAAAACATACACCAGATGTGCTATTTCTGAAACTCTCGAGATTTTGGGGGCCTGACTCGTGATTTTTGAGCCCTTGTGGTCGGCAAAACTGTACTAGTAAATGCTCCTTTTATTTACACTACATGATGCAGGAAGTCCACAGTGGTATAGTTGAATCATCTCATATTTTAGAGAGAGAGAGAGTTGATGCTGGCTGCCTAGGAGATCTCTGCATCACCAGATCTTATATCTGTGTGTGTGCATGGACGTGCGAGGACTGTTAATAATTTTATATATGAATTTTAAACAATCTGCTTCATCGTTAAACACAAAACTGTGCCATGCTAGGAACTCTAGTCTCTTCCCAGTTCATATTGCTGCCCTCCATTTGAACAGTGTTTTGCAAACAGATACGACACGTCCTCTGCCCTGACAAATCTACAATCTAACAAATAAGACAAAGGCAAGGGAAGCCACGGGATCACAGAAATTAATATTCAGTACAAAATATATCCTCCATTATTTTGTCCGAAGAATACTGCAATATTGAGTGGAACAGGCCCAAACGCAGTAGGGGCTAGATTACTGCCAATATACACAACCCTGCATTGTGGGTGATATGAAGCTGCCTCACCCCACCAAGAGCTATGGCTCCACCTCCTCCTTGCCTCTCCCATTCCCCTTTGCTGTGATATGTGCCCCTAGGGAGCAGGGTCTGTGACTGAGACAGGCCTTAAAGTGGTGGGTGAAAGGCTCTCTGCACGCTCGCCCCTGCACACCATGTAATGGCCAGGCACAGTCTGGATCTGTAGTAACACTGATGTTGCAATGTTCTGGACAAATACTGTACCATATATTTTATTGACAATCACTACTATTAATATAAATGGGAGTTATGAATAATCAAGGGAAGAACACCTCCCCCCTCCTCCCAAAACATGCACTGAAGGGTACTGGATTTCACCATTTAAAATATAAAGTGTATTTGGAATCACACTGCATGGCTTATAAAACTGAAATATGCAGCGATTATTCCACAACATGGGGCTCGATCCTGCATGGAGCTGAGGATTCTTACTCCAGTCTAGCAAAGTGTTTAAGCACATGACTAGTACCACAGTCTTCAAAGAGTTAAATACATGCTTACGTGCATTGTTGGAGCGGGTCACAGTGCTCAGCACCTTCCAGGACTGAGCTCCTGGAAACTACACTTGCAAAAAGTCCCCCCTTTTTTTTGGACAAGGGCCAGTTGTAAACTAATCTTCATAGTTTTGTATCAATGGAAAAAAATCTCTCTCCTTTAAAATTATTACTATTTAGCTGTCAGAACTCTTATATCACTGCTAGCAGATTGTTGCCACATAGAGGGGATGTTTCCACTCCTAAAAATAACAAACAGAAATATTTAAGGGAGAGGCCCAATTCTGAAAATTCCTAAAAACTAGGAAGCTAAAATGCTAGGGCCAGCGTTTCAGAAGGGTACTGAGCACCCATATTCAAAAGGGTCCTGCACCCAGCAGCTCCCATTGTTCTAGATGTTTTTAGATGCTTACAAGATTTCAGAAGAGCTTAGTACCTACAGCATGCAGTGCAACTGGAGAGCCTGAATTCCAAAAAGGCTTGGCACATTTCATGATTCAGCTGTCAAATTCCCTCATTCTTCTGATTCATAGCACTTCTGCACTGGCTCAATCATGTCTTTCCTATTAACTTTTAACGCATCACAGCGAGGGCACAGTGGTATTATTTGTTCCCCTCGGACAGTCTATACCTCTATGTTCACCCCTTTCACAAGACTATATTAAATTTTGTACCAAGTATGCCTTGTGAGGTATCATCTGAAAAATCATAATTTGCTGATCATTGTCCTGGTGAAATATATGTGGTAACGTTGTATGCAAAGTTATAAATGTCTACTGTATAACATTACTGAGACATGTTCCAAGTTTAGAAAAGCAACCAGAAACCAGTTCCTCAGAGACAAAAGGCAAACTGACGCCTCAGCCAGGTGTCAACGAAATCAAATGGACCTGCACCTGGTTAAATGGCCATTCTTTTGGCAGGAAAAAGGGTATGAACAAGAAATTTACATCTTGGCAAAGAAACAGCTGGAGGTTCCCATCCCCATAGACTTTCTGTCTCCTGACCCCCCAGCTGGAGAGGATTCTCAAAGAGGAAAAGGTGCAAGAATGGGGAACAGAGGCCCCAAATTTCTCCTTTCATCTCTACTCACGACATTGACAACACATGAAGGACAAAGGAAGCATCACTGGACTGGTGAGGGATCCCGGCAGAACGGAATTCAGCCAGTACGACTGCTAAAACGTGGTGAGAGACACCTTTGCTTTGAATTCACTCTAACTTGTTAAGTTAGGAATCAGTAGCGTTTATTTTTATTTTCTTGTAACCAACTTGTAATTATGCCTCATTACTTGTAACCATTTAAAATTTATCTTTTTGTAGTTAATAAACTTGTTTTATTGTTTTATCTAAGCCAGTGTGTGTGCTTAGACTGAAGTGTTTGGGAAACTCCATTTGAGATAACAGAATTTGTGCATATCATTTTCTACTAATAAAATGACAGTCTTTATATGAGCTTGTGTTGTCCAGGAGAGGGCTAGGCAATACAAGACTCACATTTTGGGGGGGCAGTCTGGGACTGGGAATTGGCTGGTGTTGCCCTGCAGTGTAATTCAAGAGTAGCTGCCAGTACCACTCATACCAGATAACTGGGAGTAATTTACATGCTGGAAGGTGGGTGTGAGCAGACCAGGAGTGGCTGCTCTCACAGCGAAGCAGTGTAAAAGGTACCCCAAGTTGGAGAATGAAGGAGACACAGCTGTTCAGCAGTCAACACTGCACCCTGGGTAATGTCACACCAAGAATTTTAACAATTCAACAAAAGTGTTTCCCTCCAGGGAATGTCACCAATTTTTAGTTTCTTTAGCAATATTATGATAATATTAGGGTTGTCAAGTGATTTAAAAAATTAATTGCGATTAATCGCGCTGTTGAACAATAGCATACCATTTATTTTAAATATTTTGGGATGTTTTCTACATTTGCAAATATATTAATTTCAATTACAACACAGAATACAAAGTGTACTGGGCTCACTTCATATTTATTTTTGATTACAAATATTTGCATTGTAAAAAACAAAGAAATAGTATTTTTCAGTTCACCTCATACAAGTACTGTAGTGCAATCTCTTTATCATGAAAGTTGAACTTACAAATGTAGAATTATGTACAAAAAAAACTGCATTCAAAAATAAAACAATGTAAAACTTTAGAGCCTACAAGTCCACTCAGTCCTACTTTTTGGTCAGCCAATCACTCAGACAAACAAGGTTGGTTACAATTTGCAGGAGATAATGCTGCCTGCTTCTTGTTTACAATGTCACCTGGAAGTGAGAACAGGCATTCGCATGGCACTGTTGTAGGTGACGTTGCAAGATATTTACATGCCAGATGAGCTAAAGGTGCATATGTCCCTTCATGCTTCAACAACCATTCCAGAGAACATGCTCCCATGCTGATGATGGGTTCTACTCAATAACGCTCCAAAGCAGTGCGCACTGATGCATGTTCATTTTCATCATCTGAGTCAGATGCCAGCAGCAGAAGGCTGATTTTCTTTTTGGTGGTTTGGGTTCTGTAGTTTCCGCATCAGAGTGTTGCTCTTTTAAGACTTCTAAAAGCACGCTCCACACCTCGTCCCTCTCAGATTTTGGACGGCACTTCAGATTCTTAAACCTTGGGTCGAGTGCTGTAGCTATCTTTAGAAATCTCACATTGGTACCTTCTTTGCATTTTGTCCAATCTGCTGTGAAAGTGTTCTTAAAACGAACACGTGCTGGGTCATCATCCGAGACTGCTATAACAACATGAAATATATGCAGAATGCGGATAAAACAGAGCAAGAGACATACAGTTCTTCCCCCAAGGAGTACAGTCACAAATTTAATTGACGCATTTTCTTTTTTAATGTGCATCATCAGCATGGAAGCATGTCCTCTGGAATGTTGGCCGAAGCAAGAAGGGGCATATGAATGTTTAGCAGATCTGGCATGTAAATACCTTGCAACACCGGCTACAAAAGTGCCATGAAAACGCCTGTTCTCACTTTCAGGTGACATTGTAAATAAGAAGCAAGCAACAGTATCTCCCGTCACTGTAAACAAACTTGTCTGTCTTAGAAATTGGCTGAACAAGAAGGAGAATTGAGTGGGCTTGTAGACTCTAAAGTTTTACGTTGTTTTGGTTTTCAGTGCAGTTATGTGACCAAAAAAAAAATCTGCATTTGTAAGTTACACTTTCACGATAAAGAGATTGCACTTCAGTACTTGTCTGAAGTGAACTGAAAAATACTATTTCTTTTGTTTATCATTGTTACAGTGCATATATTTGTAATCAAAAATAATAATATAAAGTGAGCCCTGTGCACTTTGTATTCCGTGTTGTAACTGAAATCAATATTGAAAATGTAGAATAATATCCAAAAATATTTAATAAATTTCAATTGGTATTCTATTGTTATAAGTGCAATTAATCGTGATTAATTTTTTTAATCACGATTAATTTTTTTGAGTTAAATCGCGTGAGTTAACTGCGATTGACAACCCTAGATAATATTATTTACCCCTTTGTATAACACAAAAACTAGGATAATCCAATGAAATTATTAGACAGCAGGTTTAATACAAACACGAGGAAGTACTTTTTCACACAACACACAATTAACTTGTGGAACTTCTTGCCATGGGATGTTGTGATGGCCAAAAGTATAAATGCGTTAAAAAAAGAACTAGGTAAATGTATGGCTGTTAGCCAAGATAGTCAGAGATGCAACTCCAGCTGTGGGTGTCCCTAAACCTCTGAGTGCCAAAAGCCAGGAGGGAAAGACAGAGGTGAATCACTCCAACTGCCCTGTTCCATACACTCCCTCTGAAGCTCTGGTAATGTCGGAGACAGGATTTGTCTGGTACTTGTCTGCTACTGTTGGAGACAGGATACTAGGCTAGATGGACCATTGGTCGGACCCAGTATGGCAGTTCTTATGTTCTTATGTATACACTCGAATTGCAAACTGAAAGAACGGGAACAAACCTCCCCTTGGACTCAATCTTCAATTCCTTAGATTCTCTAGGGATAATTATATCTATTGAGACAACGTGAAAAGAACAAGAAATTTGGACATAAGCACATACCTGAGGGAGTGATCCAGTGTCATACCCGTGAAATCAAAAAACTTCAGGTATTCTTCAGCCACAAGTTTGCTGAACTCATTGCTTAAAAAAAAAACAAAAAGTTTATTACTAAAAAGCAACGCTCAAGCTGCTCTTATTATTGTACAGAATCAACCGTACAAATGATAGTGGCCCATGTCAACACATACTTTTTACCCAGGTGCTTTGCCACATCAGAGCGCTTGAATCGGTCCAGTTGGTAGAGGCGCTTAGCCAGCCTCCTGGCTGCTTCCAAATTGCTGTCAGTGCCATTGCTAAGATCTTTACTATGGTTTTCGGCGCCATCTTTCTCCAGGAGCTCATTGCCACCCATGGCAGCTGTGGAGTCGAACAGTGAGTTTTTCAATCCAGCATTGCTATGTGATAGAAGGAATGTGAAGGGGAGAAAAAAGAATAAAGACCTCAGGAACATTTTCAAGAAAGATTTACTTTCCAACTGGCAGGAAGGTGATTAATTGGCAAGACTGCAAGATACGATGAACTCCACTCAACTAAAAAACTGTTGAGAATTGACATATTTGTTTAGTAAAATCCCGTGTTTTGTTGTTTGTACTGACTTTTCACAACACATGTAACTCTGCATGGCAGGTGCTTGACATGTTGTGCTCAAACTGATGCATCAAAAAGAGTTCCCAAAATGAGCTACTCATAAATTGTGGACCATTATCTCATCTGCAATCCTATGGTGAGCAAACTGGGATTTACAATGGCTCACTCAAGTTATCTACTCCATCCTTCCCAGGCTTCCCTATGTACCAGACCTTGGTTCTGCTTCCAGACTCAGACTGGTCTCCCAGTGTGCAGGAGCTGCTGCGGACCTCAACAGAGTTCATACAGGCTCCATAGCCCCTGCTGTGCTAGCAAGGGCTACAGCTGGTCCTTTGAATTTTAGAAGGTGCAGAGGGAGGCAAAAGTGGGAAGGGGAGCAGGAATCAAGATAAGGGGTCTGAGGTGCAGGGGAAGCTGCATTAAGGTGGGGAGCTGACTCTCAAAGGCTGGCTGGAGACTGCAAGAAGCAGGGACCATGTGGAGCATCTACTTTCTACAGCTTTCCCTGCTCCTGGTGCTTTGTGGCTCCAGGGCTCTGCACCACTGGGTCCAAGCACTGGTTATGCTGCCCCTGCCTTTCCTGAGTCTCCCCTCAGACATGCAGCCAACAGTCTGTTAGCCAATACGTATACTTATACACACTGCACACCATACTAATATGTATTGTGCATTACATTCTATCTAAATGTTAGTACAAAGCTTTATAGTTGCATGGTATTAAGCTTACTCTTGTTCACGCATGCTAAGTATCCCATAACACTTTGCAAAGCTGAAGTCAACTTTGGCTCTGGCGAATACAAAATCTGTCAAAATCAAAGTACATTTGTTCTGGGTCCTAGTACAAGTACTATTCCACTCAACTGGTTTGGAACGTAATATGCAAAACAGAGCTAAGAAAAGTACAGCCCAGAACAAGAAGTTAAGGAACGGTTACAACGAGTGGGATGGATTTAGTGACATATAGAGAGCTGTGTAACTTATAACGTCACGCTACAAAGACTACTAGCTGAAATGCAGATCTTTGAAGCATACCTTCAGTGTAAGGGGAACACGCTGCTAGACAAGAACTGCTTCCTGGAAGAAGGGTACGTATGTCCCCTTTCCATGTTGTATTGCTTTGTCTTTAGACAATGCATTTGGCTACATTCAGTTCTTTGGTCTCTTGAACATTTTTTAAGACCGAACCATGATCGCAGTCAAACAATTGGCTGCACTTTTCAGTCAACAAGCCCAGAACTCAGAGACAGCTTTTCCCTTGTGTCGAAACTCCTGTGCTTTGCTAGAGAGCCCCAATGCAACTGGCCACCACAGGCTTGTCAGACTGGGGCAGCCAATGGGAAATCTGACCAGACCCACGCAGAGACCAAGTACCTGGGGCCGAGGGTCTGTACGAACACCCTGCCCAGCCAGTGGGTCTGTTGCCGGTAGCCTGGATGCAGGATGGTAGGTGTTGGATACAGGATTTGCACACCCCCAAACAGACACACACCCCCATTCTTCCCACTGCTCCCCAACACCCGCCCAGCCTGCCCCAACATTCCCACCATCATTAGCACAACTCCAGTCGTCCCCACGGCTCCCCTAGCACCGGCACAGCTCCAGATAGTGCTCCCAAGCTCCCCATGTGCATAGGTCCCTTCAGAAATACCTCGCCTCCCAGGCCACATGTCCCCTACAAAGATCCGGCTCTCCTGCCACCACGGCACAGCTCCATTAACCTCACACATCCCTCCCACTAATTTCACCCCTTCCTCCCCAGCAGCTACACCCCCAGCATTGCCCCTCCATGCCCACAGCTCCGCAGGTCCTTTCACTCTGCCCCACAATCCCAGGGGCCACCCAAACAACATTAGGAGAACGGACCCTTGATGTCTCCTGGGGGAGGGCCAGGCGGCCATTTCTCACCCTTCCCTCCCACTGTCCTGTGGAGGGCTAGCAGGTACCCTTCCCCCAAATTTTGCTCTTTGGGGAATCAAGGTGAGGGGGCTCGCTGTTCGTCTCCGTCTCACGGCCAGGAACCAAAATCTCCTCCATGGCCTTCTTCCCTGTCGAAACCCTGGGCTCTGGACTGGCATCGGGCTGGCGGGTTCTATGGACAATCCAGGCCCATTGATGGCCTGGAATCCTCAGCGCCAGAGAACCCTGATCACTATGGGCCAGAGCTCAGATGCACCCGCCAGGCCCAGGTCCCACCTGGTGGGAGAGGGCAGTGGTCCTTCCCTCAAAGATTTCCTGTCCTTGGATTGGGGGCCACAGGGACCCCCTGAGGATGGGGGGGCAGGCCAGTTGGCCACCCCCAGGAGATTACAAGCTTGAGTCTGACTGGGGACTCCTTTAGTGAGGTAGAACTACTGGGTGGGGGGGGCACATAGAAGTAGACAAGATGAGCTGTGGAGGCAATTGTGTGGGGGAGGCAGGGTAACTGCAGGGTGGGGACAACAGATCTGCACAAGGAGGCTGGAGAAATGGGGAGCAGGGTGTGAGATATGACGGAACACAGGGAAGAGGGAGAAAAAAATGGGAACTGGGGGGGCACACTGTTAACCCCTATGCACGGGGTGGGAGACCACCCTGGCAGGAGTCCCTCCATGCTAGAGTGCCTGAGCAAAATGGGACTGGCACCTCTACGCTATGACAGTGCCCTTATATAGCTTTGCCCTGCCTCAGGACCAGGGGTGCAGTGAACTTTACGATGGAAGCAGGTGTGTACAAGGGAGCTGACCTATGGAAGACTAGACAGGGAGATGGCCAGGGTTGGTGGGGAGCCGAGAGGCTGTACTCTGATGCCTCACCATGATCTCAACACCTCCATTCAACTCCCAGTCCAGATACCTGCCCTAGGGGGCGTCTTTCCAACACCCATGCACCAGTGCTCAGACTCTCCTTCATTTCCCCCCCAAAGTCTCTTTGATCCATGCCTCCCACAATTAACAAACCTACAAAACTTCCCCACACAAAATTAGACTGAGATTCCATTTAGAAAGGGGTAACAAATGACAGATGTTGTTACAGACAGGAGGTGAGTCAGACTAGATGCCCTCGCAAGGTCCCTTCCAGCCCGACAGTTCTATGATTCTGCGAGGGAGAAGTGTGTGTGTGTGGGGGGGGGGGGGGTGATATATAGATGGCTGTAAGCACTATAGCAGGACGTTTCAGAGTAGCAGTCATGTTAGTCTGTATTCGCAAAAAGAAAAGGAGGACTTGTGGCACCTCAGAGACTAACCAATTTATCTGAGCATAAGCTTATGCTCAAATAAACTGGTTAGTCTCTAAGGTGCCACAAGTCCTCCTTTTCTTATAGCAGGAGGTGTTATAGCAGCCTAGAACACATAGTTATAAACCACTAACTGATTTACTGGAATCTATAACACAGCAGTTGTTTATTAAAATGTCTGATAATCATTCATTAACTGTTTATACATGGATTCTTAATACAAAGTGTGACCCAAAAAACTTTGCTAAGATGGAATTCCCCACCACACAAATCACCACCTGCTTTCTGCCTTGAAGCACCCACATCAAAGGGGTGAAAACTGCAGCTTTCTTCCCATGTTACAGCACCCATTGCATTCACAGCAAGAAAGGGCAGTGGTGCTCCTCAGGAGTATTTTTTTGATCAACTCCATCTGTATTCCCTTCCTTCCAGCTCTGTTACAGAAGAATCACTCAAACACATATTTTGTGAGTGACATTTCAGTAATCCTCTCAAACTGAGATTTTCAAAGCATGTAAGGGAACTGAACACCCAACTGCCATTGCAGTTACTGGGAATTTATTTATCTTGATTTAAACAACAAAAAGACACCTATAAAAGGCGCCAGATGCCTGAATGCATAATTAATACTGCAACGAAGCCCCAGTGGCACTGAAACAATGTCTCATGGAGGAACTCCACCTGACAGTCGCCACCTGCAATACAAAAACACTCCTTTCTACTCCTTCATCCCTCAGCCCTCCCCAAAAGCCTTACCCAGCTTCTGCAGCGTGCCTTTATAGTTACCAAATCTGGGCTGTTTCGGACTAAGCGGGGGGAGTAAGTTCTAGAGCCCAGGGTGGATAAAAATCAATGAGGTTTTTTTATTTAAATTGGATTTTTTGATAAAATGCTTTTTGAGGAAAAAAGCAATCTAAAGATAGTTTTAATTAAGATACATTATAGCTAAAAGATATTGCATCATGGATTAGGGATTATAAATTCTAATTCAACAGTATGAGACAATATAGTCATGTAATGTTTAAGAAAAGTTTTGTAAATGAGTTCCAACAGTTCATGGATTAGGGACCCAATCTCACGGGAGTCCAGGGACTTCTGTATAGCTTATTTAGGTTAATCTTTCTACCTACCCAATGGGACTCAGTGCTCAGTCTAGAGGATACCATCAGAGATGCTTAGTTTTGCGGTTCTCAAACTGGATTTGTGTCTCCAGTGATAACATGCTTGTTAACAGCAAAAATGTTTTTAAATAAATATATAGAGGTGAGAAATAACAGACCTCAGCCCTATTGTCCGTCTGCAAATTTGCGTCCACAGAGTCAATCCCTTACCTCTCTCTAAAAGTGCAAAGTTTCAAAAAGTTAAATGAATAGAAGATTGTTGGGAGTGGAATAGATCTGGACAAGGAGAAGAAGTCTGGAGATAAATGTGAGAAGGGAGGGACAGGCAGCAGAAACAAAAGGGAAACTGTTTGAGCAGCATATTCCAGAAGTCTTGAGGCCTTTCTGAATGTAGCCTTCATTGATTTGAGATCTACCATACCATTCTCTCCCCTAGAAGGGAAAACCTATAATTAGCAAAAGAGGCCCAGTA